ACGGGGGGGGGGCATGTGATTGCTGGCTGTGTGGGGCGGTAGTTACAGGTTTCTCCCTAGCAGCAAAGGCGCTAAATGAAGGGATATTTTAGTATGCGCAGCGGGTCCCTGGCAAGTGGGATCCAGGAACGGGCTGGGCTTGGGGGGGGATTGCGAGGCCTTTATATAGAATTTTGCTATTCCGGCTGCCTCCCACCCGCTTGCAAAGCGCCCGCCCTCCCCGCGCCGATCCAGGGAAAACGGCCTCGGCTCACGCACACGGGCAGGAATTTGCTTGCCAACTGCTCTCCCGCCCTTCAAACCCATCACCTCCCTCGAGGGCCGGAGAGGTTAGAAGCCCCCCCCGCCCCCGGCCCACCCTGCCTTCCCCTCACCACAGATGGCCCAGAAAGCCCGGCGACCCTCTGCCTGCACGCGTGCCACCCCAGGCGCACGGCTCGGGGTCCCACCCATCCAGCCCCTGCAGCTGGAAGATCTGAGCCTCTAGGGACCCTAAAGAGCTGAGACGTGGTCTGAGCCCCTCAAACAGGAATCTGGGGGGGCAGGCCAGCAGGATGCCCTTGGACGTGCCAGGAGCCCTCCAGCTGGAGCACAGATGCGAACGCTCCTGGAGGAGCCAGCAAACGCCCTAAGTGGGACCAGGCAGCCTGGAGCCCCCTGCAGGTCAGCGCCCTGGAGACTAGCCCGGCTCTCGGGTTTAGGGACGGCGCTCCTGGCCCCCTCAAACAGGAATCTGGGGGGGCAGGCCAGCAGGATGCCCTTGGACGTGCCAGGAGCCCTCCAGCTGGAGCACAGATGCGAACGCTCCTGGAGGAGCCAGCAAACGCCCTAAGTGGGACCAGGCAGCCTGGAGCCCCCTGCAGGTCAGCGCCCTGGAGACTAGCCCGGCTCTCGGGTTTAGGGACGGCGCTCCTGGCTTGAGGAGGCTCCAGCGAGGAGAGCGGCGACCCACCCCTGTGCTATCGAATGGGACGGCCCTGCCAGCGAGAGAGCCGTGAGCCGTGCTGCGGTCAGGCCCAGGTGGAAGGGAGCATCACTGCCCGCCCCCCCGTGGGGAAACTGAGGCAGGGCCTGGCTGCCCCAGGTCAGCCATGAAGCATCGCGCTGCAGCTGCCGCCAGCCACAGGCGATGCCCGCGGGCTGCGTGGTTTGCAAAGGGCCGTTCACCCGGAGCCCTGCGAAACCTGGCGCTCACCTTGCCAGACGGGACGCCCACCCTCCTGGCCCCCGGGGCCATCCTCGCAGCACGTGGTCCCACTGCATCCCCCAGCCCCAAATCTGAACCTGAGCTCCCCTCCTCGGACTTCCATCCCCTCCTCCCCAGCGACGGCGCTGCTGGGCTACACAGGCGCAAGGAGCCTTCGCGACTCGTGGTGCCACTACTCCC